GACAATCGATGACTCGAAATAAAAAAAAATGAAGTACTTAAAAAGAAGTAATTTAAATACTTTTACTAAGTAATTTTTGTCTATTTCTTCTAATTTAAAATAATTCATTATATAATGGCCATACCTCCGCCGCAACAAGGCACGCTCCTACTAAGCAAATAAATAATACTAGCTTCATGGTGCTGAAATTCCTCGAAGACTGTTCCTAGGATCTCCGTTGGTCCTGTATTTATACTAATAAGTTTAGTGGAAGGGATAAAGGAATAAATGATCATTGTTATCATAAAATTCCTAACGTTTATATTGCTAGATAATTAAAATTTTAATGTTTTTCATTTTGATTAGAACTCTCCATAGCTAAATTAATTAGGACCGTGAAATATAGTTTTGTTTACATCACCTGGGAAATATCGAGTTTTAAATTTTAAATATAATTCCCTGCTTGTGCTGGGTCTTTTCAGTTATCTGCATGCAGCTATATTGCATCTTTATCAATTATATCTATCAATCTACTTATTGGTCTTCCACGTGGTCTTTTGCTTTCTATTGAGGCATTCATTGTTATCTAAAAGTTTCCATATGGATTGCTACGAGCTACTTACCCCTCCCATCTTAACTTCTGTGCCTTCATGTGATTAGATATTGATTCATCAGATCTTTATTGGCCTTTTTTCTCCATGCGTTAGTTCTCTGAACTCAGATTGCTCGGTTATCGTGTGTGTTTTTTTTCTCTTAAATCTTTGAATAATTTTTTATATGGCGCTGGGTAGTGTCAAATTATCACTTATATATATCAGAACTGTTTTTTTCACAGCATTGTACACCATTAATTTGAGATTTGTTGAGATTTTTCGGGATTTAAATACCTTTGAAAGGGAGGAGAAAGCTCAGTTTTCGTTAGTTATACGCAGGTATATTTCTGATCATTGGTCATTCACGGTCTTAGCGAGTTTCTAAATGGCCTCTTGCTTTGTCCTTTTACTTCCAAAGACAGTTATATTATCGGCGTATCCATGAATAAAATAATTAATTACAACGTGGACTCATCCATTTTCATGTAGTGTTCAGATCATCTTCTCCAGGGCTAGGTTGAATAACATCATTGAGTCATCCATCATTTAAGAAATAACTAAACACCGAAATGTTTTTACACTCGTGTCATTGATAAATCACTAGCTTGAATTATCGATTGATTGAATCTTAACTGAATGCATTAATTTAAGTGCATTTTGTAGTTTCTTGTGAAACTCGCAAATACATCAAGTTGTATAAAAATGTCTAAGTATTTATGTTTATTTCAATTAGGTTTTTGCACATCACAGTTAAAAACACGATTAAAAAACTTTGTCACTGACTCCTGGAAGAGTCTTGAGTGCGGCTGGAAGAGTGGCACTCAGATCTCCTGGATTCCTGCTTTGCCTTTCACATGTGGGGGGAAAGAGCCATACTCGGAAATTCCTAGATGTATTATATTATACAGTTGGCCAGACCCCCTACCGTGCATCCAACCCCCACATCTACATAAAATGAAAATCATTGCGTTCCTTGTAATTATTTATAAAAAAAATAAAAGATAATGTTCTCACAAAAAAAGTGAAAGAACTGCCCCTAAATGAAGTACAAACATGGCGGACTGAAGACTTTGATTTTAGTTCGTTGTTAGGTCACTGAGATTCATAATTTGTCTTAATTTCATCATGGTTGGTATTTTATTAAAGCGGGTAATTTAAAAATAAGGAAACATAAAAAGTGTTAAAAAATAATTGGCTTATGCAATAAAAAATATCAGTAAAATTAATTTTTTCAAAATCAAAATTTTTAAGTTATAAATCAAGCGTCGATAGTAATTAAACGGCCAACAATGTCGCAAAAATTTCCAGAATAACAAATCTGAGGGATATTTTTTTCTTTCTAAAACACTGACTATTTTTTAAAATGTTTGATGCAGTTCCGTAGAAAATACACTGAAGCGGCAGAAAAGCGCTACTGCCGTAGGTGCCAACAGGCCTCTACCAAACCATTCAGTGCTCATTAATGGCTTAGTTATAGTGATATATTGCTATAACGTGATATAAAGTAGATATGGTACATTATATTGATTGTATTAAAGAACAAATATTAATGAAATAATTAAACTGTCCAAAAAAATTAAACACTTTTATAAAACTTATTATTTTATTTCTTATTTATTTTTTCCAATTTTAGTATATGTACCGCCGAAGCTATCAAGCATCTCCCATCCCTATGATCCTCCAAGAAGGTTGAAGCGGCAGTGGCCTCGCGACCTTTTGTAGATTATATAAATTGGAGTTCTGGCAATGGCCAGATTCTTCACTCAAGACATGTGTGTATGTGGCTAAAGTGCTCTCGACCAATCTCCGCTGGCTTTAGTACCAGTGACGCGGTTGGGAGAGTAGCGCAGGGTTCTCCTGGAGTTCCCTCGCCTGATTGTATATAGGTATGCATGTGTTTTTTTTTTTTTTCCTTAGTTTTAATTTTCTTATTTTTTAGGTTATTTTATTTTATTGTCTATTGTATATACTTTTGATTATTATTTTGTTCTATTTATTTTATTTTTTTGTACATATGGTGTGAATGTCATCCTACCTCACTATAACCAATGTCTAACAGACAGATTGTTATAATACTCAATAAAGAAATTTAAAAAAAAAAAAAAAAAAAAATATTTTTTAAAATTTCATTTCTTTTATTCTATGCGGAGGTCGTTTAAGAATATCTCTATGAGAAAATGATATAATTATGATAATAAAACTTAATTCAGAATATATTGAATTTTTATTTAACGTTTGCAGTTTAACACTTTTGTTTTGTATATTTACTGATTCTTAGTGGTAATTTAAATTGTATATACTTCCCTGTAAATGAGTCACATTAATACCTGTTTTATAAACTAAAATAATGTCTACCTAATCTGAACACATATTCAGTTAGGTACACATTGGTTGTTTAGTAAAACTTAAAAAAAAAAAATTAATTTTTAGTTGCCTTATTTTGTTCAGAATTTGAACCATATCATTAAAAAATAGGAAATTTTAATATTGAATGCATCATTCTCTCTGCAAAAAGAAAGATGGAAAGGGCGATACTATAAGTTAGTATTTGTTCTCAAAATGAGGGAAAACGCGAAATTGAAAACAAAAATTGGAAAAATACATTTATCGAACAAGAAAGGAAGTGATAAAATCTTGGAAAAGAAAAGGAGGATCAGTATCCGTTACATAGCTAAACGATAATAGTAAACGCTAACAGAATGATTAAAAGGGGATAAAATGTTGGAGCAGTTTGGATGATATTAAAGGTACGGTGGAGGTTTATTGTTTATTGTTTGAAGTCGGCAGGTCTAGGCGAAGTAAATGAGGTTTATTAAGGTTAAAACCACTTTATTTTCAATTTCTACTGAAGTCGCACATTCGGACTATGTTCACTGCAAGACGAATATCTCTCCTTCCGTTAATTGCATTTGTAGAAGCTTTTTTAAAGAATCTGAAAGGAAATCGAGATTTTCAGAAAGACTAGTAGATGTTAGCGCAATCCAAAGTGTGAGGCACTAACCAGAAAGAGAACTATTTTTCAGACTTAATGGACTTTACTAGAACCTACCCTAAAGTGAAGTAATAATAAACTTGAGTTTCCCAATCGATATCGCTCTGGCAATCGACAATATTTCTTATTCTAGCTTCTACGGTTCTTGAGTAGAGTTTCTTTGGTACACTTAAACGGGATGGATCTCGATGGATAATACATTTTCTAGTATCTTTTTTCTTATAAAGGTACAAAACTCCAGTACATTCATGCCATTTTCTAATACATTATTGCCAGTTCGGTTTACTTCGTCTAGACCTGCTAACTTGCCTAATGCTTCGAACAAATCTTTTTTGCTGATAAAATTTTCTTCACCATAATAAACCTGCACCATCCCTTTAATATCATACAAACTGCTCCAGCATTTGATTCAATTTTAGCTGCATCTTGAAATATTTTACCTTAACCTGATTAACCTTGTATACTTTCAACTTTTAGCTTCCATACTCATAGCTCTCCAAAAGTGGCTAATTGTATAATTATTAAATAAATAAATTTAAAAAAAAAAAAAAGAAGATAAAGCTGACGATTATCGACAAAAAGTTACATATCTGTCAGATAAATTTGGCAAATTTCCATAATAACCTAATGTGGTAGAAACGTTTTCATAGGGAAGTTATCAGAAAATAACAACCCTCTTCACCAGCTATATGTCATCCAGGAAGAACTGAAGGCTCTATATTTTTCTTCGACTTAGAACATTTACCAGGATAACAGAGTCAGTACCTCTGTGTCTTAATCGTTTTATTGACTGTCACGTTCAATTACAATCAATTCAAGTACTTCAAGTATAATACAAGTAAGGTGTTATATGTGAGTCTATGAGTACGTCTTATATCCCTTTCCAAAATATTTAGTGTCCTACTTTGTATGGTTCAGATTTCTCTCCAAAGACGTATCAGAGCCTTGTGCAAGTTGGCCGCGGGGCAGGTTTTGGCCTGATCCTCTTAGTTAACACAATTCGCTAAAGTGAAATACGAATAAATACTATTCCTTTTTTCCCGCAGATTTATTAGAGGTGTTTTAGCATTTCTGATGATGATGAGTATTTTAAATTTAATTTAAAGCAGTTCAATTAATATCAATAATAATAATAAAACCAATTAAAAATACAATTAATATTAATTTTGAAATTAAATTTATTTAGTTAATTATTACAGTATGCATTATAAAAAAATTGTTTTTAATTTATATTTAACTGATTGTTTTGATGTTTGTAATCAGAAGACCAGAACCAAATAATTCGCTTTAACATTAAACTCATCATAAAAATTACAAATTGCAATTTTTCGAACGTGATAGAAACAAGTAATCAGCAACATAATATTAAAATTAATCGTTGCAAGGAAATGCAAACCAAATGTAAGAAACAAAAACAGGTTAGTAAATTTGTAACATATATATTTTTACCATTGATATATAATCAACAAAACATGTACCATATTTTTTCTAATTAAAAAAATAAATTATTTGAACAGTGTTCTTTGTATGAGATTGAATTTAGATCAAATTATTACAGTTTTTAGATATTTGTTTCTAACAAATAAAATTAATATTCATTACATCTTGTATAGGTGTAGATGCACTAAAAATTGCAGTATTTGTAAAATAAATTATACAGAGATTATCGTCAAAGAAAAGTATATTATTACCTATACAAGGACGGATAATTGATGACATTTTTTTTTCTTCTAGAATTCACTTAAATCTTAATAAAACTTTAATACTTATATCAGCCTAGAATAAAACAAAAGACATTAAAGTTAACTGAAATGCCTTGAAAAATAATAAAGAAACGTAACAGAAAAGTATTTATTGTACTATCTCTGAAATGGAATAAAGAAACTATTAGGAATATAATATGATCAATGGAATTTGAATTATGAATTAAACAATTAATTGTTATCACAATTTATTTTTGTTAATTATATCAATCAAAATAGCTTTACATTATGAAACTGTTTCGGAATCTTTGGCTAAACCGCAGCAGTGTCCACAGTACTTAATGTCGCATTCGGAGCAGTTAATGAGGGCGCAGTCGATGGGGACGAATCTGCAGCAGTAGTTGCAGTCGTGTAGACTATAGTAGCAGTTGTAGCAGTCAACAAAAAGGCAGTGCAGGAAGCACTTTTCACTCACTTCTTCCTAAGAGAAAAATATATTCATTATGAGGGTTGTTCGTAAACATTATGTATTCGTTATAATATAACGACTTCTTTCTTTAAAAAAATATGAATTATATCTGTTGTCATTTCCTAGGACTATGACATAATTCTGTATATTCTAAACGCTTTTTTTTATTTCTCTCTACTATATGAGCTTTAAAGTTGACAGAATGACGAATTGAATTGAATTTTATTACAAACCATTGGTAAGCTCTCTTGCAGTTTTACGAAAACTTAGAATAAAGCACAACATACAAATGTGAGAAAGAAATAATAGGATTATACAGTAAAAATAATGGACTGTAAGAAGCAAAAACTAAAATGAAATTTATTTTTTATCTTTTGTAGCTTGATCATTTTAACCCTGATGAAAAACTGGATAATGATTTCGACATGTTGGCTTGAAATAAAAATAGTTTTTATTTTTATTTATTTTTTTTTTATGACCATCACCTCGGACCCTTTCCTCACTTAATAATATACAACGGTCAATCATCAAGTATTCAACATTTACTTATACTGTAATTACAGATAGCAATGTACATAAGTGAAAGTTAAATGAAATAAATTTATAATTTACTTGATAATAAAAGAAAACCGGAAGTTTTACTAAATAAAAATAATGATAAGTTAGAGATAAGCATAAATAAAACAATGCTGAAATATTAAATAAAGGGAATGATGTTTATATCAATTAAGAAGTTTAAGTCACTGTCATAAAATTAAACAATCTGAATAAATTAAATAAAATCAAAATATCCTTAATGATAAGAATATAATTCACACTAAATAAATAAACCAAGATTGAACAACTTTTAGTAGCATTCGTAACTCCCTCTCAATAAAAATAGAGAGGCGAAGAAAGTTTCGTTACAAACTTTCCGTTCAATATATTTGGAAGTACAGACATAAAATCAATGCGTGAATAAATAAAATATGTAAAATAAAATATGAAAGGTCCACTATATGGCTGAAGCTAAGGCCTTGAATTGAGTTCGCAAATATTTTACTACGGCCTATGTTCTTATTAAAAATTATAGTTTATATAGAAAGATTTTCTGTTGAAAGATGTCCCACTATGAGTGTACGAAGGTTTGGATTTTAAATTTGATCACTAAGATTTGACGACCGAAAAACACGTTAACAGGGTAAGTAAATAGACCGATTTGCTTAAACGCGACCGAAGTACTTAAAAAAAAGTAATTTAAGCACTTTTACTAATTTTTTTTCTATTTATTATATTTTAAAATAGCTCATAATATAACAGGCATACCTCCGCTGCAACAAGGCACGCTCCTACTAAGCAGATAAATAATACTAGCTTCATGGTGCTGAAATTCCTCAAAGACTGTTACTAGGATCTTCGTTGGTCCTGTATTTATACTAATAGGTTTAGTGGAAGGGGTAAAGGAATAAACGATTCATAATTAAAATTTTAATTCTTTTCATTTTGGTTAGAACTCTCCATAGATAATTTAATTAAGATCGTGAAATATAGCTTTGTTTAAATCACTTGCTAAATATCGACTTATAAATTTTTAATATGATTCCCTGCTCTTGCTCGGTCTTTTCAGTAATCTGCATGCAGATATATTGCATCTTTATCGATTATATATATATATATATACATATATATATATATATATCAATCTACTTATTGCCGTTCCACGTGGTCTTTTGCATTCTATCGAGGCATTCATTGTTACCTAGAAGCATCCACATGGATTGCTACGAGCTACTTACCCCTCCCATCTTAACTTCTGTGCCTTCATGTGATGAGATATTGATTCACCAGTTTCTGTAATGAGATATTTATTTATTGTTTATCTTTGGTTATTGTGCGGAGTTTTTCTCTTAAAACTTTGAACATTTTTTTATATGGAGCTGTATAGTGTCAATTTCTCACTGTTATATATATCAGGACTGTTTTTTCACAGCACCGTACACCATTAATTTGAGATTTGTACAGATTTTTCGGGATTTCAATACCTTCCTAAGAAAGCTCTGTTTCGGTTAGTCATACGCAGGTCTATTTCTGACCATTGGTCATTCACGGTCTTAGCGAGTTTCTCAATGCCCTCTTGCTTTGTCCTTTTACTTCCAAAGACAGTTATATTATCGGTGTATCCATGGATACAATAATTAATTGCAACGTGGACTCATCCATTTTCATGTAATGTTCAGATCATCTTCTCCAGGGCTAGATTGAATAACATCATTGAGTCATCATTGAGAAATAACTAAACATCGATATATTTTTACACTTATGTCATTGATAAATCACTAGCTTGAATTATCGATTGAATGAATCTTAACTGAATGCATTAATTTAAGTGTATCTTGTTGTTTCTTGTGAAACTCCCAAATACATCAAGTTGTACAAACATTTCTAATTATTTAAGTTCAATTTTTTTACCGCCGGTATAATAATAGGTTTTCTGTTCTTTTCATAACTTATAATCATTAAAGCATCGTCACAAGAGGAATTTTTGACATACTGCACGTACTCTCTCTCTCTCGATATTTTTCAATAAAATAAATTATTACTTATTCTCGACGTCATTTTAACGATTCAACTTGGATTTAGATTTACTAAAACATATGAAAATTTGTTTTTTGCTTTTGTATCTCAGTCAAAATTTATTTTATCTATGCTCTCCAATTTTTCTTTTTCACTTTGCAAAACATTAATAGATGTTTACCCAAACGTTACAAAAATTGAGGTGTGAATTATTTATTCACTAATAAAGAGCTTTAGTGGGTCTAAGATGAGTTTGCGGGTGAGTAGGGGAGGGGGGGGGGGGAAGGAGGGAGAAAGACCCTCAGTAGTAAGACATTTTCCAGCCTATCCTCCACTCTCTACTACTCATTTGTACGTGTTTCTACATTTTCTTTTATAATTAGAAATTTCTCTTATCAATTGTTTTATTATCTATTTTTTTTCAATTTTCGTATATTATGTCAAATAAGACTTAAACAACGGTCATTAAATTGTACGCTGTAGTTGTTCTAAGGGCACTTAATCTCAGAATAAAATCTATTTTTCTTCTTCTTACTATCAATTCGGTTTTCGAACATCAAAGTCAAAAACACGATCAACAAACTGATTCACTGACTCTGCCACAGGAGCAATAGAGTAAAATCACTGAACAATTTCTCTCTTAGTGAATGTCTTTTCAAAATATATTCTTGTGTACTACAATGTTTTCATTTCATATTTCTTATCAACACCTGGTGTATGTTTTAAATCGAAGAAAAATGTAAAAATATAGGCCTTTGTATGTCGGAGAGATATCTCACAATCCTGTTGTAGCATCCCAAAACCTGCAAAGAAACCTCTCCTTTGTTGAGCAATGGTGCAACAACTGGCGCATCAAAATTAATGAATCAAAATGCGAACATATCACTTCCACTTTTCAACGCAGATCCTGTCCGCCAATCCTTTGTAATTCCATTCCTCTTCCCTAATCAGATTCAGCCCGATACCTTGGCTTCCTTCTAGACAAATGACTAACGCTAAAAGACAAGAGCTTATCCGGCAATTTGCTCAGCTATATAGACTACTAAACTGAAATTCTCATCTCTCAACAGAAAACAAACTATTAATAAACAAGACCATACAGAAACCTGTCTGAACCTACAGACTTTAACCATAGTGAACAATTAAATCATCGAATATCAACCATATCCAATCCTTTCATTCCAAAGTCGTTCGAACAAAGTCACTTCTCCATATTATGTCACGATGACCTAAACTGTGACCTTAACGTCCCATATGTCCTTGAAATATCCCATCCAGATTCTCAAACCTTCACCAGAACCTTCTTCATTATCACCAATCCTCTCTATCCAGATCCGAGCATCCATACCATCCTCCTCAAAGGTTAAAATGGCAGTGGCCTCGAGATCTCCTGTAAATATGCTTTTGGAGTCCTAGCAATGGTCAGCTTCTCCACTCAAGTCCTGAGCGTCTGTGGCACTAGTGTCCTCTTCCAGTCTCCACTGGCTTCAAATGCTAGTGATGCGGCTGGAAGAGTGGCACTGGGATCTTCTAGAGTCCTGCTTAGTCTGCCGCATTTAGCGGAAAAAGCATGGATTGGAGATTCCTGTTCAAATTTATATACGGTATATAGGTATGAATGTGTTTAGAAATTTTTATTTTATTTTATTTGTTATTTTTTTCTTATTTATTTACTTTTTTACCAGTATTATTTATTTACTTTTTCATCTCTATTATTTATATATATTGTATGAATAGGAAGTTTTAGCCTCCTTATGCTTATAGGCCTCCAATAGTGGCTGATTTTATTATTATTATAAGACAGAGCTGATGAATATCTACAAACAGTTAGATGTCTGTCCGATACGTTTGGCAAATTTTTTTATTAACCTGATATGTTATGAAAGTTTTCAGAGGGAAGTTATCAGAAACTAATAACCCTCTTCACCAGCTGTAGATGTCATCCAGGAAGAACTGAAGGCTCTATATTTTTCTCAGACTTTGTGTGTTTCAGACTTACCTCCAAAGACGTATCATATACTAGTGCAAGTTGGCTATGGGGCTTAGTTAACACAATTCGCTAAACTGATATGCGAATAAATACTATTCCTTTCATTCCACAGATTTAATGGAGATGTTTTAGCATTTTTGATGTTTTTTTCGGATTTTATATTAAATTTATAGCAGTTTGTATAATATCAATAATAATAATAAAAGCAATTAAAAATACAATTAATATTAATTTTCTTATAAAATTTATTTAGGTAATTATTTCAGTATGCAATATAATAACCTTGTTTTTAATTTATATTTAACTGATTGCTTTCATGTTTGTTATCAGAAGACCAGAACCGAATAATTCACTAAACATTAAACTCATCATAAAAATTACAAATTGCAATTCTTCGAACCTGATAGAAACAATATCATTAGTAATCAGCATTATAATATTATAATTAATTGGAACAAGGGAATGGAAACGAAAAGTAAGAAAGAAAAACAGGTTAGTAAATTTCTAACATATATATTTTTACCATTGATACATAATCAACATGACATGTATCATATTTTTTCTAATTAAAAAATAAATTATTTGAACAGTGTTCTTTGTCTGAGATTGAATTTATATCAAATTATTACAATTTTTAAATATTTGTTTCTAACAAATAGAATTATTATTTATTACATCTTAGATAGGTGTAGATGCACCAAAAGTTTCATTATTTGTAAAATTAAATACTCTATACAGAAATTATCGTCAAAGAAAAGTATATTATTACCTATACAAGGACGGATGAGTGGTGATGTTTTTTTGTTTTGTTTTTTTACGTCGACTTAAGTTCATTCTTAAGAAAACTTTGAAGCTTCTTCCAGCCAAAATGAAACAGAAGACATATTTAAACTTAATGGGAATTCCTTGAATATTAATAAAGAATTATAGCAGAAAAGTATTTATTATACTACCTCTAAAATGTAATAAAGAAATTAGTAGGAAACAAAGAATAGAAATAGAATTTGAATTATGGATGAAACAATTAATCGGTATCTCAATTTATTTTTGTTAGTTATATCAATGAAAATAGCTTTACATTATAAACCTGTTTTGGTTTTTTTGAGTTAATCGCAGCAGTGACCGCAGAACTTGATGTCGCATTCGTAGCAGTTGATGCGGTAGCAGTCGATGGGGACGTCTCTGCAGCAGTCGTAGCAGTCGTTTAGACGAAAGTAGCAGTCGTTGCAGTCAACGGTATTGCAGTACGGGTTGTACTTGTCAATCACACCTTCCTAAGAGAACAATATATTTAATATGAGGGTTGGTCATGTATATACATTATATATTACTTGTAGTATAACGACTTCCTTTATATATAAAATTATGAAATATGGACGTTGTTATTTCATAATACTATGATGAGATTCAGTATATTCAAAACCACTTTATATTTCTCTCTACTATATGAGCCTTCTAGTTGACAAAATGATACCGATTTTGACGAAAGAGTGTCTGTAACATCCAAGGGACATGCAAACGTTAAATTTCTGTACGACGTTTTTCGTGTTGCTGTTGATCGTAATACTTACCCTTGCAATATATTAATAGTTAAGTCAAAGTAAAAAGTTTTTAGTGAGTTTTAAATTTTATTTTATTGTAGTACTATGTGATAAAACTTTTGATTTGTATTTAAAAAACAAATCCTTTTCTATTAATAAAAAGAATTATGGTTAGTTAAAATAATACAATCTCAACTTCAAAATACATGTAAATTAAAGTTATACAATTTGAGCAACCAGTATTATAATTAAATGAACATTTGTATAATTTGTAAAATGGGTGTTGGTCCGCCGTTAAACGGACAGGGAATATCCCTCTAGTATTGATAAAATAAGTGATTTGATTATTTAAAAACCTGTTTTATGTATAGGGTGGTTTCGGATATATCGAGTTTTTATCACAAAAAATTATTAAGTAACGTAATAGCGAGTAGGGCATGCGAAACGTGAAAACATTGGTAAAAGCGCAAAGTATTAAGACGTATTCTTGAACTGTTAAAACTTAATGAATTTTAGGATTTTCTCCGAAATGCGGAGCTGTATGATGAATACTAGAGTTTGGTATTCAAACATGTCATGAGAGACAAGATTCAGAGAAATACCCAGATAGCGCCACTAACACTCCGAAGGTCGCAAGGAATCTGAGAGATTTGTCGCGCGGTCTATTTGATGTGTTTTTATACCTCTTAGAGGACAGCAGGACTCTACTTCAGGACTATACTTCCTTACGTATTCCCCTGGTTCCTGAAGTCTTAATATCCAGTAGCGGGATGATCTGTGTTGTGTGGTAAAACCTGAGGCATTTGTGGAACGTTTCAGGAAAAGGGAATGTAATGGCTCCTGGTATAATTGAAATGAAAGCATTCTTTGGGAAATAAAATCTTTATGATTTATTTGACTCAAGGCACAATTGATTCCATGTTTGAAATTGAATATTTCCGTTCCAATATATGTTTACGAAGGTTTATATTTGAAAGAAATAGACCGATTTGTACATTTCGGGAATCGTTTGAAAATTTTGACAGAAACTGCCAATTTTATTATTGGTAGTTGGAGTAGATATGACTATCGATGGTTTATATAAAAACTTTAAAAATAAATTAAGTACTTAAAAAATATAACTTAAGTAATTTGTGTCTATTTATTATATTTTAAAATAATTCATAATATATTGGACATACCTCCGCCGCAACAAGGCACACTCCTAACAAGCAGAGAAATAATACTAACTTCATGGTTCTGAACCAGATCGAAGAATGGTTCTAGGATCTCCGGTGGTCCTGTATTTATACAAAGAAGTTTAGTGGAAGGGGTACAGCAATAAATGATTCATTCTTATCATAAAATTGCTAATTTTTATAATTGTAGATAAATACAAATTTAACGATTTCCTTTTTGATTAGAACCCTCCATAGCTAAATTAATTAGGACCATGAAATATAGCTTTGTTTACATAACTTGAGAAATATCGAGTTTTAGATTTTTAAAATAATACTCTGCTTGTGCTGAGCTATTCATTTTTAGTTATATATCAATTATATATATCAATCTACTTATTGGCCTTCCACGTGGTCTTTTGCTTTCTATTGAGGCTACCTAGAAACTTCCAGACGGATTGCTACGACCAGCATACGCTACCCATCTTAACTTCTGTGCCTTCATATGATGAGATATTGATTCACCAGTTTATGTAATCAGATCTTTATTGGTTTTTCTTCTCCATGCGTTAGTTCTTTGATCCCATATTGCTCGGTTATCGTGCGGAGGATTTTCCTCTTAAATCTTTCAACACTTAAGACGCTGGTTAGTGCAAAGTGAAAAGTACAGAAAGGGTGAGCAATAAAATATCTTGGATGGAAGGGTGTAGGTTCTTGTGCCATGAATCTTGCTGCGGGAGGCGGGGCCACCCCAGCTCCTTGGTATGTCCAAATCGGTATCAGTATGGTGTTGTAGATCAGAGTAGCTTGTTGCTTAAGTTAATTGAGGATCTGTATTCCAGAAGATGTGAGAGTTGGCTATATCGTCTAGTCAGTTCTTGGATTTTTTAATTTAGTATGTATGTTCCAGGTAAGTCTTTTATCAAAGTAGTGTCCGAGGTACCGTGCATAGATTTTTCATGTCTATTGTCAATCATATGGAAGAAAGTAATTCACGTGGGTGGATTTGCTACTGTTCGTTTCAATTTTCCATTTTTCGTACCAGTTTTGAAGGTAGGTGGTTTCAAGGGCAATTTATGCGATAGTAAGATTGTTCTGAGAAGAAAGAATTGCAATGTCAGCAAAACAATAGATGGTGGTGCTAAGGGATATCAGAAGTGTATAGCGAATAGAGAATTTGACTGAAGCCACTACATTGTAGTACGCCAATGTGTTGAGCCAAGAAAGAGGAGTCAGATGAATTAATTTTAGTTTAGATATTTTATTTATTCCCGCAGGTTAAAAGGTATGGATTTTTATACTTTATATTTAGAAGTATTAGGAAGTGGGGTGTTTGAAAGGATATTTTCACCTTTCCAGCTTTTATTGGGAGAGAGAGAGACGATTGCTTCGCAGAGTTATTCAACCTTTGTTTTTATTTTGCGAAATTATACTTTTAATATTCGAGATATTTTGTTTTTTATCAATTAATTTCTAAAAGGTTAATATTTGCTGTGCCGAATGGTAAGCGTCCGAGGGGTAGACCGAAGCGAAGGTGGGAAGATTGCATTAAAGCCGATCTGAAGGGACTGGGTTTGGACGGCGAACGGTGGAGGGAGGTGTGTAACAAGCGATTGGTGGTGTCGGCATCGAACGTTCGGGTTATCTAAGCCTTATTATTATTATTATTATTATCAATTAATTTAGATTGATTCGTAAAATCCTTAACTGAGGTATAAAACACTTCCTTGACTCAATATTTCAGAATTATTTTATTTATCCTTATCTTAAACTTATCATTGTTTTTATTTTTAAGCAAGTGTAAAATTGATCTCATTTTATTTTCAGTTACATGTATCGTTATATCTTACTATAGAAAAAATAAAATAATGGTTGACCAGTGTATATTATTGAGTAAGAAGATGGGCCGGAATGGCGGTCATAAAAAGACTGAAGTAGTGAAAAAATTATTTCCATTTGAAGCCTAAGTTTCGGCTGAACCTAGCAGGTTGGGTTACAGAATAAATGCTAAGTCAAGTTGTTTTTTTTTTTCATCATAAAGCTCATAAGAAGTTAGTCATTCTGTCAACTGAAAAAATATTGATTTCTCTTCTAATGTGAAATTTATAAAAAAAACAAAAAAAATTTCGTATCTTATCATTCAACATTTTCTTCTTCTTCTTCGCCTTCCTATTCGTGCCATTACTAGCGTCGAGGAGCCTCTGTCCAATGCAGGCGTGCCTCTCGGTCCCTAACAAGCTGCCTCATTTCCTGGAGGGTTTTGCCTCTCTTCTCTCCAATTCGCTGCATATACTCCTGATAGGAAATTCTGGGGCGGCCCCTCGGCCTCCTCCCAGTGGGTCGAGCTTCCAGAATCTTCCGTGGATCTCTCTCCTCCTCCATCCAACAAACGTGGCCAAACCACTTCAGCTGTCGGTTTTCCAGTAAAGTCCTTAGCTCCGCCACCTCCAGGTCCTCTCTTATGCGTCCATTTCTGAGGCGGTCTCTCCTGGTCTTTCCAGCAGCTCTCCGCAGAAACTTCATCTCGGCTGCTGTCACACGGCTAACCTGCTTGTCCAGCATAATCCAGCTTTCGCTTCCATACGTGAGGGTTGGGAGGTTACCGACTTGTATATGTGCCTTTTTGTTTCCTTACCAACCTCACTGTGCCCAACTATGCTGTTGCTGATAGGGTAATAGACCTGGTTGGCCTTGGATATCCTATGCGCTACTTCTGAGTTTTTCTTTCCCGTTCCCGAATTCTTGCACAACTGGAAGTACCTACAGATTTGCTCTTGTTCATCTCTTGATATGACTAGGACTTTGCTTTTGGAGCTATTGATAACCATACCTTTGCGGAGGAGATCTTCCCGCCGTTCTACAATGGCCTGCTGCAGATTGTCTTTCGTGTCCGCAATCAGAACGATGTCATCGGCATATAGCAGGCTCTGGACCATAATATTCCGCAGGTTCCATTTTCCGATGACCATGCAAACAGTACGACATTGACAAATTTTACAGATTTTATCCATAAATACGATGAAAAGGCATAGACTCTCAACCATTAATCCTTACAATTCCTTTTGCTGCCTTATAAGCCAATCTAATTGCCTCAATAAGATCAGCTGGAACACTTTTTGACGCCAAAGCATCCCATATTTCTTGTCTAGCAACCGAGTCAAATGCCCCCTTCATGTCCTGAAATGCCATATACATGTTCTTGTGTCTGTCTTAAGCTTTCTCTGCGATGCCGCTTAGCACGAAAATGTGATCTTGAGTCTGCCTCCTTGAGCGAAAGCCCATTTGTTTGCTCTCAATTTGGTTCTCAACTTCGACCTCTAATTTTCTTTCTCTCTTAAGATTGAAGAGTATAATTGGTAAATGGTTGACTGTCGTGGATAACGAAGAGAAGAATAGTTGAATAGTTTATTATTTATCTGTTAGTTCTTAGTCATTATTCTAACAATTTCATTTTACTTTATATTTATTTATTTTTTTTATTTTTTTTTATAATATATTATTTATTTATTTTTTTTTACCATTACTACTTATGTTTCTCATACCTTGTTATCTGGTTATTTTCTTAGCCCTGATGAAGGCCTGAACTTCAGGTCGAAACGTCAGCATATGTAAAAATAAATATTATCATTTATTTTTGCCTTCTTTTTTGACTGACCACCCCAACTATTCTTCTCTTCATTGAAAAGTATAATTTGTAAGCCACTGAAAGTATGCTTATTGGCCACAATTTCACAATCTGTGGAGCTGCCTTTTTTATGAATGGCGACAATTAAACTTAACTCCCAATCCCTTGGGACTGTCTTTGTTTCCTATATTTTTTGGAGGAATTTAATTAAATTTAAATAGATTAATTTGATACAATTCAATAAGCATATGCACATACTATAAGAATTTAATTTTCATAAAAATGACAGTTATTCATTCTGCCAACTGGAAGTGTAATTTAGTAGAGAGATATGAAAAAGGGTGTATAATATTCTGAGTTATATCGCAGTACATGGAAATGACAGCTATATTCCATAATTTTGTATGGAAAGGAAATCTATTAAAATACAACTAGAACTGCGAGAACGTCAGCTGCGACAACAATCATGTCTTGAGTGGAGAATCTGGCCATTGCTGGCCATTGAGAACTCCAGTACGAGCATACTACATATGATATCGGAGCCACTGCCGCTTCAACTTTCAAAGAGGATTGTAGGGATGGGTGGAGCTAGATAGGTATTGTGGAAGGGGATTTGGATGATTTATAAGGTTCTGATCGTATTCGGAAAAAAATTCAGTAATACAGTCTAGCGCAAATGGGATATTAAGGTCCTGAGGTAGACTTCTGTAGGTTACTCAGAACGGATCATCGACTAATGTTCGGATAACTTTGGACTGAAAGGATAGTATGCGTTTGATGATAATGAATTTTGCTGTATTCTAAATTTTTTTTTATAATCTATTTATTGAATAATAATACAATCAGCCACTGCTAGAGGGCTATAATTATCAGGGCTAATAGTTCTAATAAATATAAATATAAAAAGTAAATAAATAATACTGATGACGAAAGTAAATAAAAAGGAAAAATAAAATAAAAACTTCTATACACAATCATACCTATTTACAAAATATACATTCGCCCAGGAGTCTCCGAGCCAGTCTTTTCCCCCCTACAAAGCAAGTGCGAGGCAAAGCAAGACTCCAGGAGATCCCAGTGCCACTTTTCCAGCCATTTCTGGGCCACTGCCGTTTTAAGCTTCGAGGAAGATTGTAGGGATGAAGGGATTGATGGATAGGGATTGAACTATATGATTTGGATTTGGATTGAATTAGATGGATAAGGTTGTGGTGAAAGTTTGAGAATCTGGATGGGATGATGTCGAGGACAAATCGGATGTTAAGGTGATAGTGTAAGGTCTTATTTGCGACATAATATGGAGCATTGACTATTGTTCTAAGTACTTTGGATTGGAAGAATTGGATACGTTTGATATTCGAATGTTTAGTAGGTGCCCACAGTTCAAGTCCGTAAGTCCAGATAGGTTTCAGTATGGTCTTGTAGATTAAAAGTTTTTTCAATCGAAAGATGAGATCTCCCGCTTAGTAATCTATATAGCTGGCCATATCGTCGGTTAAGTTCTTGTCTTTTAAGTCTGGTATGTAGGTTTCAAGTTAGTCTTTTGTCTAGAAGGAAGCCAAGGT